CAGTCATTGGGGAGGTGGAGTCTATGGCAGACTCCTCCCAGCTCACGCTTTGTCCCCACCTCAGTGCGTATTACTTGTAATGTAGGAAACTGTTTCTATATGTGTGAGAATTTAAGTTAATAAATGATCTCTATGGCTGTTTTCCCCATGTGGTTTTGATGTTGAATTGTCCCTTGCCCATCCCTCATCAGATCAGTGGGACACAGTTTGAAAGCAAGAGCACAGACCCAGGTTATCAAAATGTGATTTTCCTCAGTTCTTGTTAAAACAGCAGGAGCATGTGGTCAACGGAAAGAAAGGAAACAAACGGTTTGCCACATCCCAGCAAGTTTTCCCAGTTAACTCTAGCGCACGCCCATCACATGGACCGAAGCCTCTTCTAGGTTGTGCGCTTGCTGGAACAAAAGATTCGGTCTTTGCACGCCTCCAGGTCCCTTTTGTGTGCCTGTCCCCAGAACTGCTCAACAGGGATGAAATATCTCCGCACTTTGAGTGAAGAGAAACGGTCCTGCCTAGTTGGCCTTAGGTGCTGGGGGAATGTAGGCGAGGGCTTGAGTGCCTGAAATACCTGATTCTCAGATCACACCTGTGGATTCAACTAAGATGGCCAGAGACCCTAACCCTGCCCCCTGTTCCCCAAGCCTGCCTGGCACTTTCACCTAAACAAACAGACTGTGCAGCTGCTCCTCAGAGGCAGAGGCAAGAATAGAATCATCACTCCATCAGCTCCTAAACTGGAAGTGAAATAAAGTTTGCCCCAATTGTCAAACAGTTCCCCTTGAGTCTAGGAACGCAGCTGGAGATGAATGGGGTACGAGTGGCACTCTGGTCCTCAGAGGAAGAATGGCCTGGCAGCTAGAGAACAGTTTCATAAATTAGTTACCAGTCACGTGGTGTCTCAGAGTTTATGTTCAAGGTGGGTTGTTCCTAAATCCCTAGGGTTCCATTGTTCCATTCAGAAGCGGGACCTTCTAACTTCTTGCGCTTCAGCTTCGTAGCTAGTTTCTCTCTGTGTCCACCTCCTCCACAAATGTGCTCAGAATTGAGTGAGCACCCAGAAAACGTTCAGGGCCTTGTTACCCCCATCCCGTCCCCGCCAGAGTCCCATCACCTTCCAGAGGCACACAAGTCTATGGCTGAACTGGACCTTAGAGCTCATATAATCCATCAGTTTCATTTGACAGATGATGAGAGTTCAGAGAAAAGTGACTTGTGGGAGCTCCCACACCCTGTCAGTGACAGGTCCGGCTGCCACGCTGCTACCCTCCCCACTCACTACAGTACATCATTACCTTGGTCTGGTGTTGCAAGATGAACGTTTTTAAGAATTTCAACTAGGACTGAACATTCCACCATCATCTCTCAGAAGTAAGCCCTCAGTCCAGTTGGGCCAAGGTGAGCAAACATGCAGCATGTCCACTCCTCAGGGGCTTCGTAGGTCAGTAACCCTCAAGGAGGGTGACCATCTGGACTGCTTTCTGTCCCTAGACAGAGAGGCCATGGGAAGGCCATCTAAAGAAATATCCCTGGAAAAATGACGAATCTGTCCAGGTAGCATAATGGATATGACTGTATTCTCCAGAATAAAGGTTGTTACAGCCCTAGCTAAGACCTCTTCTGAAAAGACAGTGGCCAAAAGGAGGGTGAGGCTTACCTTCAACTGGGTGGAGGAGGTGGTAGGGGCCCTAATAAAACCAGTGAGTTGGTACTTGGGAGTCCTGTCGGAATGACCTCTGTCGGGACCTTCACGGGGATAGTCTCTTCTGACTGGCATCTTGGGGCCAAGGATGAACATCAGCACTGTCCCAAACTTGCCCTCACAGGATAACCTGGTGGTCATGGACATGTGTTCCCATTTATCTAGGTGTGTGCCTAGGAGGGGCATCGCTGGCCGTAGGGCGACTCTATGTCTGACGTTTTGAGGAACTGCTAGACTGCTTTGCAAAGCAGCTCTGCGATTTTACCTTCCCACCAGCAGAGTATGAGGGTTCACGGGCAGTGCTCACCTTCCTCTAAAACCCTCCCTTTCGCTAGTATTGCCACTGCTGGGGTTCAGCACCTTATCCATTCTCCCTTCTGCACTCTGCTCCCCTTCTAGCTCACAGCTACCGGCCGCCTCCCAAAGACACACTGCTCTTTCCTGCCCGTGGGACTTCCCCATGTCCCTCTTTTTTAGACGAGTCTGCTTCCATGTTGTCCTGATCTTCCCAGGCAGCATTACAGACCCCCTTCTTTTGGCTCCAGCCATACTCTAGAGCCGCTATTAGTAGCCCACTTCCGACTGTGCTGTACTGTTTTGTGTACTGTTTGTCTTCCCTATTAGAATGGCCATGTTTCCAAATATATGTTGGCCTTGGAACCAACCCAGCCTTACCACTTGTGAGCCGTCTACATTTAGGCAAGTTACTTATACTCTCAACACCTCAGATACACTAATTTATAAAATTATTTGTAAAAATGGAGTGATAATCCCTACTTTAAAAGTTTGGTGCCTGGGGTGACCAGTTAGCTCAGTTGGTCAGAGCATCGTGCTAATAATGCCAAGGTAAGTTTGGTGATGGACACCGACCTAGCCCTGGAAACTGGCCCAGAGGAAAGCCGGAATAACAAGGCCAAAATGTCCATGAAAACAGCTAGGCAGGATGTCCGATGGAGCCAGAAGAGGATCTGGGAGGGGATCTTGGAACACGGAGGAACCAGAAGGCCCAGGAGGAAAGTAACAGAGGTGGTGGGCTAGAAGACCAGGCCCCATTTGAGACCTGGACAGGAAATAGGCGCTGGCCACAGCCGGGCAGCTTTGGCTGGTATCTACCTCACTGACCCCACCACACAGACTACGGCCTGACCACAGCCAGGATGCCCGGGGTCCACTGGGCTTCACCTGTTCTGCAGGTATAAACTGATCCCCCGTCCCCCCCACATCCTCCTCTTCCCCATACTCTCAGCCTCTTCAAGCTCTGAGGTGGGTCTCGTTCTGAGGGGAGGGGCTGGTGGAAGGGAAGCCTGGCTTTCCTGCTTCTTGTCACTGG